CTTCCACCTCTCTACTCTGTCCCTTCTCCCCAGGCACCTTTGTGAGCTCAGTCCCTGCCCTCCTCTTCTCTCACAGTACCAAGACCCAGATGCATTTACCCTTCCTCAGTTTCAATAGCCATCTCTATATTAATGCTTCCCACTTCTATATCTCTGGACAACAATTTGCTCCTAATATTCAGACCCATATATTCAAATCTTTTTGACTTCTCCACTTGACCTTTTGCAGATGGCTCAAAGTAAAATCATTTTCTCACTCAAACCTATTTCTTTATTCCCATTTCACCCAATAGTAATATTCTTCACCTACTTAGTCATCCCACAAGCCTAGAAACTATCATTTATTCTTCACTCTCCATTAACTTTCACCATCTCTCAATTAGCAAGTCCTGTCAATACCGTCTTCTTAATTTCTTGCAAATCTGTTCTCCACTCTCTATCTGCATTGTAACCACTGCCTCATTTCAGACAATTGGCATAACTCACTTCAAATACTGTATAGCTTATATATGGTCTCCCTTCTTCCATTTTTGTCCTCCCCACCAATTATCTACACAGCTACCGTGGTGATCTTTCCAAACATGAATTGGGCTTTGTCACTTCTCTACTTAAAATCCTCCAAAGACTCATCACTGTCTTCAAGTTAAAACCCAAACTTGTTAGCATGGTGTGAGAGGTCCCTCCAGGTGTGGTCCTTAGTAAATGAAGGCAGCTCCTGATTGTCAATCTTCCTGCCAGTTTTTCTTTCTCCCTCTCTGCCCCCTCCCCACCTACGCATACACTCTGAGCTCAAACTGTTACTGGACCAAATGCAAGTCACTTCTTGGCAAGTTAAATCAGATTGCACCAGAAGTAGTTGACTCACAGAGCAGAAATTTTATTTGAAGCATATGACAAGGAAAATGGAGACCACAGGGAATAATTTCACAAAGCCATGGCTCCCCAAGTGCGGGGAGGTGGGTACCTTTATTTGGAGCAAGGAATGAATATTCAAAGGGGAAGTTTCATCATCACATGTAGAGGTGGGTATAAGCTTGTACATGTGTAGTTTGAAATCGTGCTTTTACATACATTGCATGACCCAAAAATGGCTTCTTTGCCCTTCCCAGAGGAGGAGAATTTATGATGTTAATGAGGGCAGGTTACTTTAGTACAAATTGTGGCCGATCTGTGCAGGTGTCAGTCTTGTGGTGGTGGTCTGGGTCAGTCTGGTTGGTCTGGTTCCAGGGTGGTTGTCGCTTAGAGCTTCTTCCTGGAACATAGCTGAAACTGCATGAGCTCAAGACCCCACGGTGTTAGATAAAGGAACATCTGCACCTTTCAAGAAGACAAGAGAATTAGGTCAAACACAAAAAGGTTAAAGTTTAGATAAGACAAGAGAAGCAGGTTAGAGTCCATGGCTGGTGACAAAACTACATGATACTTTGGCATTTGCTGGAATCTGCCATTGCTTTCTTACATCTATTATTTATACCTGTATAGTTGCTACTGCTTCTACCTCCATTTGACTCACTCACCTTTCTTTTTCATTCTTCAATGTAGATGTCAGCTCCTCCAGAAAGCCTTCCTTGATTTTCTAAAACTAGAATTAGATGTCTTTATGTTTTCCTTAGCAACACAGCAGCCAGTGACAGTCACTAGTGTGACCTATCACATTCTAGTGTAACTCCTGGATGGTCTGTCCTCCCACATGAACTCTCCCTCCCCCATTAGAGGATGAGAAGTTCAATTCATAGTGACTATTTAACAAATCTGTTAAAAAAATAATTGAACACGTCTCCTTCACACAGAGATGTTGTTATGTAGCTTAATGATGCTATCTGGATGTGGATGTGGATTATCCTGTCTTTTTCTGACTACACAAATGAAGCATCTAATGAAGTGAGTAGCCTAACATACAGAAAGCTATTTTTTTCTTTTTAAAATTCATTTTTAAATGTTTACAAGGCTATTAGACATAATCATGACAGTTTTGAGAATTTTATTATAAAAATGATGTACATAATATGCACATACTTTTTAGTTTTGGGTAAAGAAACCTCATCATATTCTATGATTGCAACTATGTTCATTATTCACAAGACAATTATCAATAAATTGTTTTTTATGAATAAATTCATTCTTCACCCATAGGAATGAATCTTTTCTTTTTATATTTAAATGTTAGTATAATCAATCAATGTACTGGAAATCAGAGATTTAAAAAAATATTTTTTCTATTGAAATAAGGGGAAGAAATTAGAAAATATTCTAAAATGTGTTTTCTAGAAAAAAATTCTTAAACTAGGGAATGAGTCTTCTCCCAAATCCTAATTCTTGAGACTATCTCTCCATTACATAACGATTCAGAAGATTTTAGGGAAGTACTCTTTTGTTGGTATGAGACCAAGACTAGTCTATTGCTCCGACCTACACTAGATGTTGATTAGTTGGCTTAAGAACACCAGTGAGAAAGGTGCAAAATTGAATGTACGGAACCAAGTTTAAAATTATTTCTAAAAATCAAATCTGATGTTATAGTAGAATGAAAGCCTTCACACACAGAGAGAGAAAGAGTCTATGAAATGGAGATTAAAAGAGCACAGTGAAAAAAAAAGAAACCAAGATAAAAATAGTGAAAGGGGAAATAAATTTTAACAGCAGGATATGACATGACATGACATGAAAAAAAAAAGAATTAAAGTGTAGAAGGACAGGTGGGAGAACTAAAAGTCGAAATTAATGACAAAAAATAAAACGTCTGCCTACAGAAAACTGAAAAGAAAATATAAAGGAGAGCAAAAGGATCTTCCAATTATAAATTTAAGTTTCAATGCCCCAAAATTGCTATATTTTAAGAATGTCAGGAGAGTATTTCTTACATTGCATTATTCTTTTAATTTCCTTAAATTTAGAAGTATGTATAAGATTCTTCACTTTGACAACAATTTTGAGGCACACAGAAAATTAGTGTATCATTAATGCAGGTTCTCCTGCTGGTTGGGCAGGCACATTAGGGTACTTCATATCATGTGAATCCTTAACAGCTGAGCTGTGACATTTTCAACCGAGCAGGTTTTTACTTATTTCTTTAAAGTTTTTTTTCTTTTTAATGTACTTGCTCCCTCCTAAAATGTTATCTGAGCACCTGGAAGCCAAATAATTAAGATTGTCCCAAAGGTGACAATAAAATAAGGGTGCACAGCTCTCTTTTAAGTAAAATGTTTTTGCTTTACTCTCTAACCTCCAGCATCTCAGGAGTGTAACACTCAACAGTAGCTACTTTTTTCTTTTTTTAGTGCCTTGTTTCTGAGTCTGTTACTGATATGTGCATATTTCAGATTTATGCCAAATATGTAAAGGCAGGTTATAATAAGATAAATAAAAATATAAATATTAACCTGGAACATTAAAAAAGTAAGCTTCATAGAGCTATCTTAATAGCAGTTGATAACGTCCAAAATATAAACCAGAGAATCTACCCCACCCCCCACAAACTAACAATGTAGCGATATAACATTCTTATCTGGCAAAGCGATTACAAAGTTCATGCAAAAGAAACATAAGCAAACACATAACTGTGGAGCCAAAGCAAACGTGAAAAAATATTAATTTCTTAGGTTTAAAAGCTTTTAAGGCATCTCAACACATACTTGTTAAGATTTTGCTATTTTGAAGGTGCTGTGCTAGAAAGATAAGCCACAGGGAGAGAAATGCATTAGTTAATCATATAACAGGCCAGAAGATAATAAACACTACAAGCAAAATACAACAGGTATGAAGGGTTCAAAAGAAGAAGGCATCATAACTAGCTGGGAGAATCAGGAAATCTCATCGAGGATATGTCATCTGAGACAGGTCTGGAAGGGTGGGCAGGATTTGGAAGGCAGAGACATAGGATATGATTCTTCTATTTCCACTGTAATTCTTCAGGTTTAGGGACTCAGCCTATTTTATCAGATAGTACCTTTTTGCCGATTTCTTCTTGCATTTCTAACTTTCTGTATCAACCCTCCACTACACGACCTCACTGAGAAATAATCACGTCAAATTAATCACTGTCTTCTGAATAAACCAAACATTTTTTAAAATCACTTTGCCTCTTCTCATACTATTCTCTCTGCTTGCTCACTGCTTTCTTCCCTTCCCTTAAGTGAGTTGCAAACAAGTACAGAATGCTTAGTTCATTTTCAATGTCTTTCTTGACTCCTCCATGAATTAGTGTGCTATCTCATAGGTATTTCCCAAACTTTTTGTATGTGGTCTGATTACTGTGTCTCCTGTTGTATCACCTCATTTATAAGTTTGTTACTATGAGATCCCTAAGGGCATGGGCGATAATAAAATCTCTGTATCCTCAGGCCCAGTGCCTCTCGGATGGTAAGCATTCAGTGTCTGTATATATATACCCTGATGAAATCAGTTGTTGGTGGAAGAACGGTAGGCACAAATAGAACCACGGCTTGTACAGCAAGGTTCACGTGAGTAGAGGTTGATACTGAAGAACAGACTCTGGATTCTCGGGTTCACCTCTTCCTCTGACTGTGTGGACCACTAATCGGAGCACACGGAAGGTTAAGCCCAGGCAGCCTGGAAGCCCACATCGCTACCAGTAGCAGCGGCAGTAATTTACTGGTATATAATCCTCCACGCGTTTCAATGTGCTTTCCCAGCCATCATCTAAATGTTTCTCTTCAGCGGCCTAAAGTGGCCCTTAATTCTCTTCCAGAATCAGGGAAACACCTCCCTTTCTTTCAGATGGTGAGGCAAAAACAGGGACTTTCCTGGGGCTGGGAGCGGGGATTCCCTCTCCAGGAACGTGCATTTTTCGCCCCGCCTACTCGAGCTGAAGGCTACCAAAGCAAAGGAGCTCGGGGCACCTTGGAACACTCCAAGCATCCTAGATCCCCCTCCTCCCAGAAATGGGTCTGGAGCCCGGGAATCCGCTAATTAAGCTCGCCCCCATTGGTTGTCCCCAAGGCACCTCCATGCCGTCACCGTGTTATGCTAATGAGGGGGAGTCTCATTGGCCCGGCCTCCGGTGGCCGCGCCGACGGGCTCCTGCGGGGAGAGCCGGGTGGGCTGCGTCTGGGACCAAAGCCCACCGGCTCCTGGCGCGGGCCCTGGGCTGTGCCGGGTGCACGCCCGCCCGGGGGAGCTGCAGCGGGAGGCTGCCCTTGGAGGAGGATCTTGACCTGCCTTTCAGGAAGGTGCTTCCCCAGCACGCCGCGCGCACTCCCACCCCCTCCCCTCTTTCTAGGCATCGCGCGGCTTTTTTCGGCCAAGTAACTTTTGCATTCCCGCCTCCCCCAAGTCCTGGGGACCAGAGGCGGTGCCGAGCCTGGGGGCGGTTCCTTGGCAGCGTTGAATCTTGCCAGAGCCAGACTTTTGCTCCTGGGCTAGCTTTGCATCATCCCCATCACACCCTCAGGAGAAAGGAGCCAGCCCCCTTTCAGCCTCAGCTTCCGGCTCAAAGCAGACCCCCTCCCCCTATCCCAGGCCCCGTCCCCTTCTCCTGTCCCTCTGTCGGCCACAGCATTTTTTTAGTCCTCTCCCTCTACTCCGCAATATTTTCTTTCTTTCTGCCTCCTCTCCTCCATTTGTTGTTTTGTGTGTCCCACTCTTTGAGGAAGGATGGTTGATTTGGAGAGCGAAGTGCCCCCTCTGCCTCCCAGGTACAGGTTTCGGGATTTGCTGCTAGGGGACCAAGGATGGCAAAACGACGACAGGTGAGTGGTGTGGTGCAGTGCTGTTCCGTAAATACAGCTGAAAAAGAGACAGAGATGGAGAGGCTCCAGGGGGGTTAGGAGGGATAGGAGGGAAGGGAGCCAGAGACTGGGGGAGGGAGTAAAGAGGCTCCTGGCTATGTCTCTCCATTTTGACTCTATAGAGCAATTGCTATAGACAAGGAACTCTTTCCCTTTTTCACTTTCTTATTCTTGCAGTGTATTTATTTGGTGCTTATTCTTTTGTCTATCTGTGCTTCCCTAGGGTGTGTGTAAGGCTGGTATGAGAAGTGCAATACGTCCAAATGGCACGCAATATCAGTGCCAAACAATTTTCTTTTTTTTTTCCTTTAGGTGTTGTTAATCAAATTCGAAAATGTATCCAAGTTGACTGAAAAAGCACATTAGAAACTTAAAATCTCCTGCACCTATTTACTTGCTCCTGGTCAGTGCTATCTTGACCTGCCACTGGGGATTTTATGCTCTTTAAACATTTGGAGTTGCAGGTAGACAATTGGTTTATATATGTAACAGGTAGTTAGTGAAAATGACAATGTTTGCAATTGAAAATACCCACTTGGAACAGATCACTGTGACTTCTATGAATAATGATGTTTGTATAGCATGATCCAACCTTTTCACGATTAATATATTTTTAACCTAGTTAATATATATGTCACAAAATTAAAACTAAGTTTCAAAACTAGAATATTCGTTTTTAGCAAAATATTCCTCATGTGTTTTAACTATAGCATCACTGCTTTGCCTAACTTTTGAAATTCCTCCTGCTGTCTCTGTCTCATTTAAAAGCACTTTTTATGTTTCATTGAATTTCGTATTTTCTGGAATTGTCATTTCATGTATCGCATGCCACATTTCCTTATTTTTAAATAATATATGTATACTAACTAGGCTCTCAACTCAACTGAAATGTTTCCTTGAAGTTCAGTTTGGTATTGATGTTCTGTTTTAATACGTAAAAGATCCATTATTGGTCCAGTTCAAAATCTCCTCCCCATTCACCACTGGGCAATACCTTCCTTCTTTTCCCCACCGTCTCAGCTCCGAATACCAACTCCTGTCCCTACACACAAGGGATTTTGTCTTGGGCATCAATTATGGCCTTCTTCTTTGGTCTCATATTAGTAATTTAAAGGGATATGGATGTTTTGTAGAGGATAATATTTCAATTCAATGTCTTCTTTTTAGGCAAAAACATATATATTGGTTAAAAATTAAAAGAACAAATACCAATTTACTAGTGTGCGTGGTAAGTAAGGTGTTCTGGTTGACTGAAGATAAAGAAAAGACTATTTCAACAAATTTGCAATGCTAGTTGACATTTAGATAAACTGTATTAGGCTAGTTAAATGGCTTATCAAGTGAAACACAGTGATCATAGCGATTGAATCTATATTTGTTACTTCAGGACCTCAGGATCATCATGTAGAATAGAAATCCTCATTGTGGAAAGTGTGAGGCAGGCTGAATACATAGAGGATATATTTTGGACTTGATGGTGGTAGCATGGTTTGTTTTTAATATTGAATCTAAGATATTAATTGTTCATGTGGTTGCCCTCATTTTTCTAAGGATGCTGAAGATATATTTCAGTAATTAAGAATTTTGGTTATTCGAATACTCTCTAAATAAGTCACTGCTATATTAATAAAAGTTTTGTATATTTATTTAAACTATCTATTATGATAAAATTTTATGCTAGCCCAACTTTAACTTAAAAATTAGGCAAATTTACTATTAAAATGCAGCATTAAACATTTCAAAAATTGTTTCTCCATTTTTAAAGATTTGACTAATTTGGTGGCTTTATGAAAACTTAATATTTAGTTTTGGTTCCATTTGTTGCCCATCTTTGAAGATAAGATCCTTTGATTAATAGGGACCCAGGCTTCAATCCTTTGCTTATTTATTCACTAGCTGAGTGGCCTTGGGCAAGTCGTTCAGCCATTATGAGATTCAATAATCTTGTTTCTGTAAGGTACAAGACTAACACACTAAGTTGTTTGTTGGCACTAAGCACTGGTTAGTGCTATATGTTAACTACGCTGTATGTTATATGTGTGTGTGTGTAAGCAAATATATTAACCTGTGCTATATGTTATCTCAGTCAATTCTCATACAATCTTTGAATAGTGGGTAATTATTTTAAGGACTAGGAAACTAAGTTTCTGGGAAATTAAATACTTGTCTTGGTAATATATTTTATAAGTGTATAGATGACACTTGAGCTTAAGTTCTTTGTGACTCAAATTCTTCAAGAAGCTTGTAAGTTCTTTCCACTCAATTAATTTGAATTTCTAAGGATAATTTTATAGTGTCTAGCATAGTTTAGGTGCTCATTAAATGTTAGTTCCCTTCTTCACTTCTGATTTGCAGTTTGCAATTCTTTTTTATTTTTCTTCGGAACCCTAAACTAACACGCAGGAAGGAAAGTCCTATCTTTTGTCTTTAATGTGGTCACAAATTTCTCTTTGCAATTAATTCTGAGTAGCAATCTCAGTTATCTCCGTGGACTCATTTCCTAGAGTTGAGAAGGAAGCACTCTTTCATATGGGAATAGGTAGACAGTTTCAACCAACAGATACCTTTAGTGCTCGGCCCATATTCCCTAGGCTGTTTTCTATGAATACCCTCTGCCTGAGGTTTTCTGTTTTTTTTTTTGTTTTCTCCCTGGCCTTAAGAGCATACCAGGCCCACTTGGAGAGCAAGCCAGAAGTGCCACTGAGTAAAAAGGGATTTGTTAGATGAATACCTTAGCTTCCTCGCTCCGTGTTTGGGGTAATTCTGAAGCGTGTTCTACACTGTCCAGTGGGACTGAGCTCCCGTTGCCCAGAGTGGTAACTGACTTGATATTGCAAGCTTTATTGGCTTCCTTCCCCCTTCTTGCCTACTGGTATTTTCTGGATCATTTCCCAAATAAACTACTTAGGCTGCAATCCTAATTTCGAGGTCTGCTTCTGGGGGAATCGGAGCCCAGATAGGTATCTTTTGATCTAGGGTCACAGCCTAGAAATGATGGGGGAATTAGATGATGGGAAAGTAGATACTTTCTACCTTGCTCTTCATTTTAAAATTTTAAATTCAATATTAATAGAGCCTGGTTGATTGGCATGTGAAAATGAGTGAGGCATAGAATCGATGTGTGAAGGTGTGTTGTTATAGACAGAATACTGGTGGGTTTATCGGGATACAGGAAGTGTGTACTCCACACCATAGATTTTCTGTGAATTTATATTTTACCACCTTTTGGTAGGGAAACATACACACAAACATAATGTACATGTAATATATATGTGTATATACATGATATATATGTAATATATCTGTATTCTATATGAAATATATATAATGCATATGTAATGTATATGTAATATATATATCAATGCCATCCTTACATAATCACCTCTCCTTCCTTTGTATTCTGATATCCTTTTCTGAGTAGGACGTAAGGGAACAGAGACACAGGAGTGCAGATAATTTAGCACGTGAATAACACTAGTTCTGGGAGCCATGAAATAAGTTTGAGAGTTGCTAAATGACAACACTGCTTATACCTTAGGGATGTCTGTTATATATATATGATGCACATTTATTTCTTTGCCATCTTGAGTAAAACTCAAAAATCTAACTCAAATTGTTCATATAATATTTCTTTAATGGTCCTTTATCCATTCAACTAATGATTGAATGTATGCTACTCTTCAGGGCCTCATTAAGTTAGGTTTTGGAAAGAATTTAGGAAAGAGTATGAAACAGTGCTTGGTCAGGAGGTGTTCACAGATACAATTAGAGGTGAACTTTGCCCCAGAACACTGACAGTATTGTTTGTGTTATGATGATGTCCTTGAAGAATTTCCATTTTAAGACTGTTGAGAAGATTGTGCACCATTTGTAGGTAGGATATTCAGTGTTTGCTTGAAAATAAGTGGCTGAAGTCACTATATTAGAGATGGCACAAAGTATTCAATATATTTTGAATCTAATATTTAGAATACTTAGTGTCTTCAAAGTTACTCTATGGTTGAATCTAACATGACGAGAGACTCATTTAACTGGTTTTATATGGGAGCCATTCTGTAATATGTAGAATTGTTGTAGTGTTAAAATCCATTATTTTCTGTTTTAATGTTTCTAAGATTCATAAAACAATAAAGATTTAGAATATTCTCCTGCAGTTAAAGATTGGTAAATTTCAGGTTTTAAATGCCTTCAGCCAGTTAGAACAGCCCTTCTCATCCTTCATCATGATTTGGTAATTTTGAAGTTTGGAACACACTACACTTGATATTGGATAAATTATCACAACTGTGGATAAATTACTGTTAATGGACAATTCTCAGTGTCAGTCATGCAGGAGTAGGCCATTTATTTAATTAACACCATTCTATTTTCAAATATCTATCAGTTTCAACTTCAGTAATTTTAAGTATTCTTTCATATTTTATAGGTGGCACTGAAAAGTAATGCAAGCAAGTCACCTAATGCATTGTTGTAACTGAAAACATAGAAGGATTTGAACAAAGAGTACAATTCAATCAATTAATAGTTTGAGTATTTATAAAATGAGGGAAATGTTTGGATAGCTTGTGGAGTATGTGTAATTTTAGATATCATACAATGCAAATATGTTACTTTATATAATCAAATTAAATTGGGGGAATGGGTTTTGGATTGGCATATGGCACATTTATGTAACTTACCAATTTTATCTCCCTTAATGAATTATATATTATTTTGAAAAGTAGTCATTTAGTGTAAATTTAATTCTGAGTTTGTAAATTCAGGTCAATAAATACATTTGTAAAATACTTTGTGTTATTAAAAAGAATAAAATGTTATTTTTACTGTTTAATTATATAGTGGAATCAACCATGCATTTGCAAGATCTATAAAAATGATTTAAGTGTTTATTGTTAGGGGCCAGCTCCGTGGCTTAGCGGTTAAGTGTGCGCGCTCCAGTACTGATGACCCGGGTTTGGATC